CTGATAGGAGACTACGCGCTCTGCATCGCCTGCATTGTACTGCATTGATGCAAAGCCGATTATGAAATAGCTGGCGCCAAAGCCCACACAAAAAGGTCTGTTTGATCCGCAATCAACAAGATGAGCGATTTTATCAACTTTTTCAGATAACGTTTTAGGAATATAAACAATCAGCGTCCCGTAATTAATTCTCCTTCTTTTTCAAGACGCGAGAGAGATGAACGGTCATGTCGGCATAATTGCACATGTACTTGTGTAGGTACGCCGCTAGACAAGAAATACTTTTTAAGTCCCTTAGCGTCGACTAGCAAAAGCCAATCAGTAATCGCCTTGATCTGTTCTGTATCAGGGTGTACGCCATGTTTACCCACGACGCACCCAAAAAGTGGTATTTAGCTAGCAGCGAATATGCATTTCTTGAGGTTGACATACAGCTTATGCTTGCGCATAAATGTAAGAACCTGAGAAACGTGTTTCCTATGAACCTCTACGCTCATCTTTCCGTCCATAGCCCGGCTGTGGACGAATACATCGTCAAAACAATTCGGTGCAAAATTCGCACTGGTCTCAACATATTGTGACGCATCTGTTGAATATGGCTAGGGCCTTGCTAACCCCTTGCGGCATTACCAGCCTTATCAAGAGCTTACAGATCGGGGTGCTTACTGGTTTGAAAGAATGTCTCGTTCGCGCACAAAGATCTGATAGAATCTATCCATCAGGTCCATGGACGAGAAGGTAGCATTTTAAGACTTAAAATTAATGAATACGTGATTCATCGGTATCGTGTCTGACCCGGTGCCGTTGCATAATTATACTTGATGAATGCATGTGCTATCCGCCATTTTCCTGTGACCTTGCGCACACACAAGGTCAGATAGCCATATGGGGGGTGGCTTTCTCACATAGCACGAGGCCAAGCGATCGACTAAGAATTTGTCAATCGCAAGCGCTTGTTCATGAGGCAGTGAAAACGGCTTCTTGACACAGCACATCAAGCCCGGTTTGAGTTTAATCTAGTGTCTAGTGCCTTTTTCTTCAGTCATTTCTCGTAACGCGGATTCAGGGAACACGTCCTTGAATTAAATCTAATCCTTTGCACAAAGGACAATCCTGGAGAAACTCTCGAGATTAAGACGTGTATCGCTTAATCAGAGTCTTCTCATTGAGTACACCTTAGTCCATCGAATGAGCTGCTGAGAAACCGTTAGTTCTAGGCAAATACAACTGCCGACCAAATGTCGGTCCCGTACTCTTTCTCCGCGACGAGTACAAAGATCTTCTTGACCTTGCCATTACACAAATTTTGCAAGAACCGTTTCGGCTCTAGCTTTGACAGATGGATGATCGGTAACGTCAACTTCGGAGGCGCGATCAGATCAAGTGTACAATAGCCTACACTTGACCCGTTATTTCCAAAACATTCAATTTCTTAATTTTTTCCGGAAGCTCTTTTGCACAGGCTTCTAGGGACCTTTTCCCTCGGGTTGATGAGGCCTCGTTACCTTACCAATAACTGAATGAAGATTACCCCCCAGTACGCAAAATTTATCTCCTCGACAGTCTCTAGCTGTGGTTTGCTTTAACACAGCTAAGTCCTATAATATCAACTCTCCAGCCGGTCTATGATTATCGTTTTGCCTGTATGGACAAATGGTTATACTTCCTTGGATGTCGCCTGCTAGGCGTACACCCATGTGCCGATCCACTCGACTTGCTCGAGTGGTAGGCCTTCGGCGCTGACTGTGAATTTGCAAAGCCGACGGCAGCTTCCTCCACAGAGTGATTAATTGTCGCACTTTGATCTTGTAAAGTCGTACTAGTGACCGTACTACAAGTGAGGCCATCACACTCAATCGAAGTACATCCACACGCTTGTGTACGCTCAAGACGTTCGTCAGATGGTAATCTGATGAATGAGTGGCAGATCCGTGCACGGTCCGATGCTTCCAGCTGACCCTTGGCTCGTATCTTCTGAGCCAATGTAACCCTAGGATGATCTCAAATTTTTCATCCAAACCAAGTAGATAAATTACTATTATAATGCAAATTTTTCAGCGTTTAGTGAAGTCTCACTGCATGTTTCATCACTGATATCGATGCGCCTGTTGTAAGGCGCACCTTCATCCTCGTAGGAGGGATGTAGCGCTCAACGAACTCGAGCCTAAGATCCTCTAGCGGCTGGCGCCGAATAAAATTTGTTCGACGCCCCACAGTTTACTAGGGCAAAAAGTGAAAAACTTCCGTCACTTTTAAGCTCAAGGTGATGAAGGGTATATTATCACCAAGTGCAAAGACACACAGTAATTGTGAGTCCAGAGAAACTTTTAATAACGATTCTCAAGTTCTCTTAAGGTTGATAGATCAGTAGGGCTCTACGCCCCTACTGACCCTGACCGTTTTTGACGGCCCACTCCGTTTTTGCGATTTTTTTAAATGCCATACCCGCGTCCGTTGCCCTTCTTGGCAGGCGGTCAATCACTTCTATTAAATTTACGAGACAATAGGAGTGAAGCACTACACTCGTAAGCGTAGTGCTATAACTTCTGATATCGATTGCACTTTGGCCAGTGTTCATTTTTTAATGAGCGAGGTATCTGGAGCTCAGCATAACAGAGGCCAATAGGTCTGGATCTCCGACTTCTTGTCGTCTCGGGGGACGATGTTAACCCGATCTGGAATGAGCCTATCTCAAATTTAATTTTTTCGGTTCTAACACTGATATCGCATATTCTGGCGCATTTAGGTCAAGGCGGAACAGGTGGGTCTTGATGGGACCATCAAGAAGACCTTGCATGAACACAGTGATCAATGTGCGGTCATGGACCTCAATGGATGTGATAAAACTCACGAGGAATCGTCCGTAACAAGAGTAAGTGTGAGCATCGCGCTGCTCCTTGTTTTTGGTTCAAGAGCTCTGATTGAGCCCTACACTCAGCTCGTGGCGGCTTCAATATTTGTCTGAGCCACTTTTTGAGAAAATACTGCCAAAGACTTAAACACGTATGAATTTTGTAACTTGAGACCTATTTCCCAAGTTCTTGTACATCCTGCCAAGTTCGACTAAGCAAATGTGACTTATATTTGATCATCAGCGATGTTACGATCTCTTATAACGACGACTAAATCGACGAACAATCTCAAGAGTGAATCTTACTCGACTCCCTTATACTTAAAGATTCTATCTTCAAGTTTATGGGTCAATGCGCGTGCGTCGCCCAGAGAACAGCCGTTTGTGTCTATTTTTGTATCAGCATTTCGAACTGCCAAGCCCCTCTATTCCCCCAACACTTTTGCCTGTTGACAACTTTGCTGGTGAAGCAAGGTGACTATCGACCGAGACTCGTTACGTTTGTGCTGGACGAAATTGGCAATGTCGGTATGCTGCTCATCTCTGTCCAGTGCGGACAGCATGTCACCAACGTAATATTTGCCGCCGGTCGAATCCAGTCGTTCGACCGCACTCCATTCGATGTCACTCAAATAAGAGTAACTTTTGCTCGTGGTGAGAACGTTGTCAGCATCATTATTTAACATGTTAATGTTGGATCCTCGGGCCCGCCATCACCGTTATTTACTCGATTTACGCCTTGTGATAGGCAGGATTTAGAATAATATAGTTGGAAATAGAGATTACCGTCATTTACTCGACTAGCGTCTTCTGATTGGTAGGATTATAAATATCGCCGTCGGAAATTTATCCTTTTTCAACTCACATTACACATCGCAATATCAGATAAGAATCATCTTCACCCCAACTCGTCAATATCTCCACCACAATTATTAAGTCATCGTATCGCGAAACAGTCTTACTATGAGAAAGTCACATAGTGGTTCTGTTGTTTTATAGTTAAATTTATAGAAGCCCGCAAATATCCTCGTTTATCCGTGGTGGTATCAAACTACGATTTCATTTATTTGCTCATTTCAGTGAACATCTTTTCGGTCATTACATAAATTTAAAAACACTGATGGAGACCATAAATTACACGTGTAGAATTGATTCTCGCGCCGCGGCTATACTTACTCAGTATGCTCACGGCAGTATCCGTGCCGACATACTGCTCTTGGATTCGGGTGTATCCTTCTCACTCGTCGCTCGCAATATCAACCGCGTTGAAGCCACGCGTCTTGCATCCTTTACTACATCAGCGACCGCACAAGTCGAGGTATATAAATACATTAGCGTTGAAAAGTTACCCGCTTAATCGCGTTTGTCACACGTGAGCCGACCAGTCACATGTCAGAGCACCGCTACGGAGTTTCCCTTACGTGATAAAAACAGATGAGCGCCATCAGAGCGACCCACACGTGCTTCTGTGGCTCTTAAAAAACTTTCTTCTTAATTTTACACGTGCGACGGGATGAGTCTGTTACTGGTAATCAAATTTGACACTTGCTGATTAGAATATTATCATAAAGGTTGATACTGTTCGTATAATATTACCGTAAAGGGTCATATTCCGAAGCACTTACCGAATGGCTGACATGGGCCATCATATCAGCCAGCTCTAGCGGTCCAATTGACGATTGACGCATGCGATGAGTTATAGGCAAGAGTTTAGTATTTATTTGGTACATTAACATAATTGAGTCAGTTCTGAAACATATGAAACGACTAGGACTTAATTGAATGTATTACAGATAAACCAAGCCAATCTAATCTCTGATAAACATGATACATGCTATGTATGATAAAGATTCGATCCACCGATTCCAATCCTATAATAATGTATAGGGTGAACTTGATAATCAACCAATTTGATAGTTGATGAATGTTCTCGTCCAAATTCCATAATCTTGGTCAAGATCTTGGGTTACACGGAAATGATCCAGAATCAAATCATGCCTTCTTGTAATTCAATATGTACAATATTGTAAACGGATCAAAAGGTAAAAACGGTGGCTGCGTTTAACAGTACGGAACTTTGAGCGTACTATCAAGATCGCTTAATAATCGTCTTGGCATTCTACAGTTAAATGGTTGGTGCCGCAGAACATTAACCACGAAATAGCGTCTGTGTAAGTGAGTTCTCCTTTTCTACCCTCAGCTCCTCGTGCAATCGCTGCTTTATTGTACGCATACCTATCATGACAAGTCTCTCTAGATCTGGATGGTCACCGAGCACCAAAATGATGGCTCGGACTGCATCAACCTTGTCATCAGCGCTAATCTCTATCGGCATGTTTGTTACAACTTCTCTTGACGACTCCGATTTTTTAAAGTCCCTGCTCTCTCGGGCCATGAGCAAAAATCCCGCGTCCGCTTTTTTGATGAGCAAGTCTATGGCAGTTGGCGCTTCCATCTCCGAGTCGGCTTTAGCAGTGCAGCACATGAATTTGTTTAGGTCCATCGGGTCGCGGATGCATTGCTGAGGCGTTGGTGCTAGTAGGCTGGTGTTCAGTTGGTCATCAGCGTCAATGCGCGATCCGCGAGTAGTCGTACGGCCGAGGACGATCCTTGTTAGCCGAAAGCAGTTCAGAATAGCATCGCTTGGAACGTCAAGCCAGCAGGATTTTATCAACTTCATCACTGTGGGCTGGTTTAGAGTGTAGATACTGGTCTGTAATCCTTGTTCCTCCATATTCAAAGCGTACTCGAGCTGGCAATACCTGTATCGAAGCTTGAACGAGGCGACGATACCGGCATCCATGGGCTGCAGCTTCGCGGTCGTATTCAGAGGGAAAACACAAAATTCACGCATTTTAACTCCATACTATGAGCAGTCTGTGCCGATTTAACGTCGAGAAGAAAAATGGTCTTTCATTTTGAGCGTGCATGTCATCGTCAAGATCTTGCAGCCATTATCGAAATCGGACACCTGTCATCCACGCCTTGAGGTTGCTGCAAAAGTTGAAGCCAAGTTGATCCCCTGTCTTTTTCTGACAACAGGCGGCTTTTTCGCGTGACCAATGATGAGGGGCTCGGGCTTGTCTGAGCCGTCAGCGTTGCACATCAGAGCGACTGTCACACGTGTCTTGCTCTTCCTCGATTCTCCCACTTTTTATTGGGCGATAGTCTTATCGTCACAAGGCAGTAGACTAGTCCTGTTTCGTCCACGTTGTAAATGTTTAGCAAGCGAGGCTCCTGTCAGATGTTCCCGGATGGCATCGCCCTGCGCGGGTATCTTCTTTGAGTTTACGGAGCCGCTCTCACTGTACGCGCTAAGCTGCTTAAAGTCGTGACGCGCCTGAAAAGATTGAAGCCACCCATTCAAAAATAATAGCAGCTGGTCTTCTCGAATGCCGTTCAATGTGGAAAATAGACTCTCTCTCGCCTTAATCAGATCCCCAGACAGCATCACGCGCTTGGCTTGACACTGCAGCACCCAATTGGCAAGGGCTTCATCAATTGCAGGAATTGCCAGCACTCGGGTCCGCTTACTCTTGAGGTCGAGGTCCATCACGTGCAGATACTTCTGACGATCACGCAGAATGCCGGATATCGTCCCCTGGACTGGCGCCTTGAAGAGACCGAGCTCACGCTTCGCCTTATCTGCCAGCTGCGACCGTGTAAGCGTGGTCTTTGTGTAACGGGGCACCCTGAAGCTTGTACTGATGACAGTACAAGCTACTTATTCTGATGACAGAATAAGGCGGTGCCTCGTGACTTCACGTACACTCGTACGTGCAGAGGAAGACGGTAAGAAGAAGCGAGTACTTGGTTAAAGTAAAAAGTAGAACTGTATTTATAATAGTTAATGTCTGCAATAAATCACTATTTATCTTCATCTAACTATGTCTAAATACAAATGTGTAAAACAATTATCTGCTCACCACTCATTGCGTGCGTCTGTCGTGGCGCGTCTTCGTTGGTTGATATAATGGCCTATATCAACCAATTAGGAACTACTCGTAAGTGCTACAGAATATTTGTCCTTATGACAATATTCTGAGAATATAACTCTTATAGTTATATTCTATTAACAATTTCTTATAAATTGTTATGTAACGATTCACCCCGTTACATCACCCCCCCTTAACCATCAGTCACTTTAGTGACTGATTGACTAAATGGATACTCGTCCCAAATCATTTGGGACAGGGTTTGCACTTGTTGGTTCGAGTCCACTTTCCAACAATTCATCGCATGGTTAACAAGCCCATGCGATGCGCGAGCAAGGCCGCCGAGAGCGCGTCCGCACGTCTCTGTGCGGACGCCGAAGCAGAAACCACAGCAACTGATGTCTCATCGGTTGCTGAAGCGACTCAGCCTGTGTCACTTGGTGATGCAGGCGCTAGTCATGAAGACACTCATGTCTTCACAGAGTATGAGCTCGGTGTCTCATACTCTCCTGATACGGAAGACGGATCCGTATCGACGGCGATTGAATCCAAGCCGCCTGCCAAGCGTGGCATGGATGATGCTATGCGTCGTAGCATCTTTGGTTCATCTGATGAATCAGATGAACCATCGCCGAAGCGAAGGCGCTCGAGGTCGCGAGACTCGGGCGCTAACAGTGGTGTCGGTTCTCCTATTGACACCACTTCGCAGCGAGGTGCCAGTACTTCTGTCGTCACATCGCAGGAAGAGCGGGACCGCAATGTGTTGCGTCTCTCTCCTAAGAAGAAGGCATGGATGCCTCCAAAATCCGTCATGGATCACTTGTCGGCGACGACGAGTGATCGTTATCGAACACAGTTGTTCGATTCGTCAAGGATCCATCACCTTGACCCCAGTGCGAAAAACTATCGCGCTGAACATGAATTCTTCATCGATGCTTTCTTCAAACATCGATGGTACAGTGGGAATCACAAACGTGATGGTCCCTCACTGCTTCAAGCGTGGAACGCCTACATCCATAACCTCGAGGATGTAGGTCGTGACGCTTGGAACGACAAACTTATCAAAGCTCGTGATAAGTTTGAAAAGCGAACCCCAACAGGTGCACGCTATAAGCTGCATCGTCTATCAAGGGAGAAAGGATTACCCTGCCTCTCTTGGGGAGACTCGTGCCCATGTTGTGTGAACAACTCTGCACGAGCACCTAAGGAGGCTTACCTCCTTACTAGCCCGTGGTGGCGCGTACGTATCTCTACTGAGATGTACGAAGGGATTGACAACCTGAAATCCCTTTACGACCGTGCCGGGAAGACTTTCTCCGGCGGTCCTTCTGCGGCACAGGATGTGCCGCGTCGTACTGCTCAACCAGACCCAGTACGTCGATCATCAGTTGGGAGCGGGGCTCCCAAGAATCCCAGGACGGGGGATAGCCGCGCCACCGGACGAGATAACTCGTCCGACGTCCGTTCACGTCGCGGTGGTTCAACAGCTGCTCAACTAGATAGCGCTGGCCACCGCGAGAGTCCTCTAATGGAGGTGGAGGAGGAGGAAAGACGCTCTCCACACGATCATGTGGATCGGTGTGTTCCCGAGAGCTTCTTTGATCGCGTAACGCAAGGGTTACGCGACGATCTCGAACATGAGCGGAATAGGCGTCTCCAAATGGCGGACACTGCCTTGAAGCATCGAGCTGAGTTTGCCTTTGCTCAGCTTGAGAACGAGAGATCTCTGACATCTCTTCGTGACGAGCTAAGGGTAGCTCGTGGGATTGTTGATCGGTCTCGGGATGAGATAGCTGCTCTTCAGACCCTTGTTGATGCCCACCATCGGGAGCACAAGGCTCTCTGCGAGATGCTTGAGCGCAAGGGCGTTCTTCATCGGAAGAAGCAGCGTACTGGTGGTACGGCTTAAGCCGACCAACGTAAAACGTGGGATGCGTTCGCATCTTACGTGGTAACTCGATCGTGTATGCATTGCCTAGGCGGTGCAATACACGAAATGGGCCAATGTACTTGGGTAGTAGTTTACTGCTACCCAAGTTAGTCACTACATGCTTTGGTAGATTAACCGTAGACAGTAGGACTAAGTCACCCTTATTGAATAAAAGAGTGTTTGCCCTTCCATTCTTGTCAGCGTTTTGCTTTTGCTTATCCACCGCTTCGGCGATGGAATCTTGCACAAAACGGACTACCGTTTCACGAGCCAGTATGAACTCATCTGCTGGCTCGTTAGCTTCAGTGCGCTGTGAGTGCACTGCAGCAACATCAACCTTTTCTTCAGTGAGGGCTTCCGCACTCTCACTGGCATCATCTTCTTCGATATCGATGTTATCGATATCGGCATCAAACGCAATGACCTCTTCGTCAGAGCGTGATGAGCGTGAACCAAATCGGTTTTTGCTCGCGCGAGTCCCTCCCCCCCTTAAACCAGAGTCACACTCTAGTAAGGTGGGTACTCGCGGATGGCGTAAGCCATTCACGTAAAACGGTGTATGTGTCGTGGACGCATGCACCGAGTTGTTAATGGCAAACTCTACCATTGGCAAGAACTCACTCCAACTCTTAAAGGAGTGTACGTATCCTCGAAGTATCTCTTCGAGGACACGATTGGCACGTTCCGTCTGACCATCTGACTCTGGATGATCAGATGTCGACATCTTCAAGCGCGTTCCGAGTGATTTGAACACGGAACGCCAGAAATCAGCAGTGAATCGTGGATCTCTGTCTGATACGAGTTCACGGGGCAACCCATGAAGTCGGAAGATGGTGTCAATAAAGACACAAGCACAGCCACTTGCTGTGATTGACTCTGGTACAGCCACAAGGTGTACCATTTTGCTGAATCTGTCAACAAAAACGAGAATACCCGTATTCCCGCGTGCGTCTTTGGGTAACCCGAAGACAAAATCCATTGAGATGGATTCCCAGCACTCAGCCGGAACCGGTAGAGGCTGTAAAGGTGCACGCAGTGAAGGACTTGACTTCACTCGTTGACAGACTTCGCATGCGCGAACGTACTTTCGCACAAACTGATACTGGCGGGGCCAGTAAAAGTCTCGACTCACCGTGAGATATGTTTTCTCTCGGCCACGATGTCCTCCTATAGGAGCATCGTGATACTCGAACATGATCCGCAAACGCAGATCAGTATCATCTGGAATGACAACACGTGGTGTGTCACCAGAAACGGCTGTATAGTACAGTAACCCGTTGCGAGTAGTGTATCGATCTGATGCAGATCGATACGCAGGCGACAATCGTTTCAACGATTCTCGAGATGGTTGGGAGAGATGTGTCAACAACTTCACAATCTCACCATCTTGGGCGTATGCCCGCCTCACATCATCATACAACGTTGTAGATGGGACTGAGGACGTCATAACCGCAACAGTGACTGTCTCACTGTTGGGTTTCGCGACTGTTTCAAAGTCGGGACGACGTGAGAGTGCATCAGCGACGACATTAAGTCGTCCTGGTTTGTACTCAACCGTAAAGTTGTATTCCGCAAAGAATGACAACCACCGCGCCATTCGTTGCGAAAGGTGCGGGCTGTTCACTGCCGTGCGTAATGACGCATGGTCAGTATAAACAATGAAGGGTCTATCTCCTAATAGATAGACTCTGAACTTCGCGAGTGCATACTTCATGGCAAGGAGTTCCTTGTCATGCACTGGGTAGTTCCGCTCAGCTGGTTGCAGCTGACGCGACTGATAGCAGACGACGCGTTCAACGCCTTCAAGGTCGTACTGCATTAATGCACAGCCGATTGCGAAATCGCTGGCATCACAGACCACATGAAATGGCCTGTCCTGATCGGCAATTGCTAGGACTGGGGATTGTATCAAGCTCTTCTTGATACCCTCAAAGGAGCGCTGACATTCAGCGTTCCATAACCACCTCTCGTTCTTTTTCAACAAACGAGAGAGGTGCACAGTCATCTCGGCGTAATTGCGTGAATACTTATGCAAATACGCCGCTAGCCCAAGGAATTTTCGAAGACCTTTGACATCGACTGGCACAGGCCAGTCGGTGATCGCCTTGATCTTTTCGGGATCAGGACGTACACCGTTCTTACCAACGATGCACCCAAGAAGTGGTATTTCGCTTGCTGCAAATATACACTTCTTGAGGTTTGCATACAATTGATGCTTTCGCATGATTGTAAGAACCTGTCGGACGTGGTACCTGTGAACCTCAACGTCCGACTTTCCATCCATAGCCCGACTATGGATGAATACGTCATCGAAATAACTCGGCGCGAATTCTCGTACTGGTCTCAACAGATGTGATACACATCTGTTGAACGTGGCAGGGGCATTACTAAGCCCTTGTGGTATTACTAGCCATTCCCATAGCATGCCGCTAGGCGTGCTCACTGCGGCATAGGGTATATCCCGTTCTCGCATAAGGATTTTAGAAGCCATCCATCAAATCCATGGACGAAAAGATGGTACTCTTTGACATACCATCAATGATTACGTCCTTCCTCGGTATCGGCGTCTGTGCCGGTACCGTTGCAGCATTCAACTTGTTGAATGCATGCACTATCCGCCACCCTCCTGTTGCTTTTCGCACACAGAAGGTCGGAGAGCTATGTGGGGAAGTTGATTCCCTCACATGGCCCGCAGCTAAACGATAGGCAAAGAACTTGTCGATCGCAAGTACTTGTTCACGAGGCAGTGGCCACTGCTTCATGACACAGTACTTCGAGCCTGGTTTAAGCTCGACCTCGTGTCGAATACCTTTATCCTTCGGTAATTCGCACGGAACAGTTTCAGGGAATACATCCTTGAATTCAACCAAATCTTCATAGAGAGGATTTGTCTTGAGCGATTCCCACGATTGGGAGTCATATCGCTCAATTCGTGTCTTTTCATCTAGGACACTCTCGTCCATAGATGAACTACTGAGAACTCTCTCGTTCTCAGTAAACACTGTTGCTGACCTTATGTCGGTTACACACTCGTCGTCAGCGACGAGTACGCAGATCTGCTTGACTTTGCCACTACGCAGATCACGCAAGAACCTTTTATGTTCGAGCGTTGGCAACTGAGTGATCTCCGAAGTCAACTTCGGAGGCGCAATCAGATCAAGTGTATAAGCGCCTACACTTGATCCGTTATTGACTATGACATTCAATGTCTCTGTCATTTCCTGGGGACTTATTCCCACAGGCTTCGAAGGACTTATTCCTTCGGCTTCCCGGGGACTTATTCCCTCGGGTTTCGGGGAACTTATTTCCGCCGTATTTGTATTATCGGGACTTATTCCCTTTACTTCCTCTAGCTGTGGTTGCGCAACCACAGCGAGATCCTCTACGAAAGACTCTCCAGTCGATCTAGGATTATCGTTTCGCTTAACCTGAGCGATCGATTGTTTCTCTTCTAGATGTTCCCCGCTAGGGATACATCTTTGTCCCGGTCCACTCGACTTATTCGAGTGGTGGACCTTCGGCGCAGCCTGTGTTTCCTCACAGCCGCCGGAACTTTGCTCCGAAGTGTAACCGTTTGTTACACTAAGGTTTTGTGCAGTCGTACTAACGACCGTACCACAAGTGAGGCCATCGCACTCACTCGTAGTACATCCACACGCTTGTGGACGCTCCAAAACGTTCATCAGATGGCCATCTGATGAACAAGCGGCAGGCATCGTTACTGTTCGATGTTGCCAGTTTACCCGTGGTTCGTACCTTCTGAGCCACGGTATTCCAAGGATGACATCAAATTTGTCATCCAAATCCAATACGATAAAGTCATCGTCATACTGGGTATCTTCTAGCGTATAGTGAATCTTCACTATACGCTTCATGACGGTTACGGATGCGCCTGTCGCAAGACGTACCGTCATCCTCGTAGGAGGTGTGTCACATTCACTGTAATTGAAGTGACCATCTTCTAGCGATTGGCGTCGCACAAAATTGTTGGACGCCCCACAATCGACTAGAGCTCGAAGGGACAACTTATTCGTCACTTCGAGTTTCAAGGTAATGAGTGAGACCTCATTACCTAGAGCAGCAACGCACAACGTTTGTGTGTTGGGAGCAACCTTCATCAAGAGGCCTACAAATTCTCTTGACGTTGCTGGACCAGTAGGGTGCTCCGCACCTACTGATCCTGTCCGTTTTTTGACGGTCCATCCCGTTGTTGCGTCTTTGCACCAACAGCGGACCCGCGTCCCTGCCCCTTTCTCATGGGTGGACGGTCACTACGCCCAGTGTCGCGAGACACTGGACGAGGGGCACTACACTCGTAAGCGTAGTGTCCTGTCTTTTGACATCTGTTGCATCTCTGCAACTTCTTGTAGCCTGTAGAGCGAGCCTTCTCGCTCTCTACATAGCAGAGTTCCATCGGCTCTGGACCTCCGTTGTCATATCGTCTCGGTTGACGATATGATGTCGAGCTGGCGCGAGCCTGTCTCAGACTGAAGTCTTCCTGTTCCGCAATGGAAATGGCTTGTTCTAGTGAATCTAGTTCAAGCCGGAACAGGTGAGTCTTGACGGGACCATCCGCAAGACCCTGCATGAACACCGAAACCAACGTGTGTTCATCCACCGGATTGGAACTTATACAACTCGTGAGATGTCGTATATGTTGCGCGTAAGCGTGCACATCACGCTTACCCTGCTTGAGCTTCAAGAGTTCGGTTCGAGCTCTGAACTCAGCTCTAGGCGGTTCAAACGTTTGTCTGAGCCGCGACTTGAAGACTTCTAACGACCCAAACGCATATGGGTCGTGCAACTTGAGCCCCAGTGCCCAAGTCTTGGCACGTCCTGCCAGATTTGACTGGGCAAATGCAACTTGCATTTCCCCATCGTCGATGCGACGCGCCCTTATGGCGTCATCCAATTCGACGAACCATCTCAAGAGGGAGTCCTCTTCGACTCCCCTATACTTGGAGATGTCAATCTTCAAGGTCTCGGGTCGACGCGAATGCATCGACCCACCAGCAGCAGCCTGCTGCTGTCTCAACAGTTCAAACTGTTGAGCACCCTGTTCTCTCAACAACTCTGCTTGTTGAGAACCTTGTTGGTGAAGCAAGGCTACTTTCTCGCGTTCAGCGTCAAGTTCATTTTGAATGAACTTGGCGATAGTAGCATGTTGGGCATCTCTATCGAGAGCCTCTAGCATGACGCTAACAGCATGGATGCCCATGGTTGAACCCATACGTTCAACCGCATCCCATTCGACATTGCTCAAATGGGAGTAGCCGTCACGCGTAGCGTGAAAGCTTTGGTCATCTTCATCATCCAACATATTCATGTTGGATGTGAACGTGGTCCTTGGACGGACTACGAAGTGCTACCAGGTGTAACGGGGCACCCTGAAGCTTGTACTGATGACAGTACAAGCTACTTATTCTGATGACAGAATAAGGCGGTGCCTCGTGACTTCACGTACACTCGTACGTGCAGAGGAAGACGGTAAGAAGAAGCGAGTACTTGGTTAAAGTAAAAAGTAGAACTGTATTTATAATAGTTAATGTCTGCAATAAATCACTATTTATCTTCATCTAACTATGTCTAAATACAAATGTGTAAAACAATTATCTGCTCACCACTCATTGCGTGCGTCTGTCGTGGCGCGTCTTCGTTGGTTGATATAATGGCCTATATCAACCAATTAGGAATTACTCGTAAGTGCCACAGAATATTTGTCCTTATGACAATATTCTGAGAATATAACTCTTATAGTTATATTCTATTAACAGTTTCTTATAAATTGTTATGTAACGGTTCACCCCGTTACACTTTGCGTCATGCCACTGACCGATCTTCTTCTTCTGCTTATAAGTCAGGTTACCAACCTATTTAAGTCGCGACAGCATCGTTGTTTGAAAGGCGAATTAGCAAAGTGAAAACTGAGATAATTATTTGTGCATAATTTTGGTGTGTAAGTGCTTTTGCTTTGCTGTCCACTCATTTTGTTCTGCTAATGGTTGGAGCAGCGAATTCTTTTTATCTCTCTGATTGTGTCATCATTCCAAAAGTAGGGGGACGTTACTGCTGGCAGGCAGTGCTGGTGAACCTTATACACCAGAACCTGAAGGCCTAACTTAGTATTTTTGCGCGTACCGGTTCTCGAACCGGTGACCTCACAGATGATGCCGTCACAACAACTTAGTTGGGCTACAAGCGTACACGAAATGTGTCACACACAACTCTAATTTAACGTGTGTACACATTTGTTACATACACTCGCACAAACTAAAACCCAGGCATATATGTCTACACTAATGCATATGCACGACGTATCACCAACAATTTTTTTGTGCAAAAAGTTGATTGACGCGTCGCTTGACTTGGAATTGTACTAAGATTTGGTGCTGAACCCGGAATCCGGACTCTTTTACTGTTTTTGAGGCTGCCAATGACTGGAGGGTGTTTGCACCTTTAAGGTTTGATGATATTGTTGTAAATGATACACTTGCGGTCCACGGGTCATTTCAAATATGGCAGGTTTATCTGTACATAGTTACTTTTACCAGCAAATAGTCAGTTCCTGATTGCTTTCCCTTCCTCTGCATAATTTACAGAGGTAGCGAGGCACCACCCACACTGCTGTCGGTGAGAGTAGCTCTACACTGGTTGCCCAGTGTGTTGCTCCGGTACCCCGTTGCAACACGTGCACTTGAGTCTTGCAATGGTTACGTCTTGGCCTGTCTTTCAACATGCTGGAATCTGAAGACAAGTGCCGTAAGGTGGGGAAAACGCGAGCGTTTTGCAATAGAGCTAGGTAATTGTACTTACTCATGTCGGAGATTGTTTCCCACCGTAGGTTGCCGTCATTACTTGCTGCTTGGATTCCAGTGCGTCCAGTGAAGGAAGTAGCCGCATAATATATTACCACACGTCGCCGACTTGAAGACGTACATAGAATATTCAGATCTAGTATCTGATCATTTGTCAATGAGATTGTAAATTACTCCTGGAAACGGTGATATTCTCAATCCTACCAATTTGGAAGACGTAAATCGTGTAAATTACGGTCATATATATGAGTGGCGAGTGGCTAACGAAAACCTGGTGGGTTGTTACCGAGACTTGGTGGGTGGTTAACATTAACCTTTTTTAATTTGCCCTATTCGAAAACACATTGACATAATAAACTGCCGTTTCCACCTTCTATTAGCGTATACTTTGTGGTAATCGATGCTGAGACCTTTTTAATATACCAAGTCAGTTCCTTAGCCGCAAGAATTCAACTCGACGGTTGTCTTTCATGTCGATAACAGTTCGTTATATCAAATGTGAGCCGAGCAGCCGGCTGGACGATTATTGCTGTTGTTGTCGATCGCTTCCCAGCGGCGAATGTGTTGACCTGCGGAGTGATGAAAGCCTTGAATCCCCAAAAGGTACTGCAACTGACTGATACCAACACCAAACCCAATGAGAAAGGTGTCCATCGTGAAAATAAGGGTCTATGAGCAAGTTGCTTCCGCTCGTTGTTTCTTGGTCTTTCCAGCTGCAGCCTTGCGGCGCTTTCGACACTGCTGCACAGTCTCAACGACTTCTTCCATCGCTTCGCTATCACTGTCCGTCTTTCCAACAGCTGACTCGTTCTCGTCAACAGGCAGCAAACTCTTCATATTCACGATACTGAAGTCCACAAGATACGACTTCTGTAGCATACGGTCCATGCGCTGAAAGTGACGCTCACTGTATGCGATTAGAGCTTCCACAGTCTTAACTACACCGTCCAGAGCTTTCAGACGAGTCGGAGGCAGTTCACGCAAAATCGTGCTGAGTAGCACTTGGCAGACACTCGTATTGCGAGCATTTGTGTTCCAGTCACGCAACCACTCCATCAGCGTTGCTAGCTGCTCATCTTCCAGACTGTGCACCACCGGCGCAAAAATGTCTTCGGGAGAAAAGTTGTCCGGATCAATCGGTTTGCCACTAGGAAGCACTGCCTGGTCTTTGTGTCGCGGACCTTCAAGCAGGTCGCGTAGAATTTGCAGCATACGGTTCGGGTGGTTGAGCTCAAACGCAAGCTGCACAGCATCAAGCGGTTTGTTACCGCGAAGGCAGTTCAAAAGTTCCTGCTCCTTCAGTAGCTTAGTGTCACGATCATCCTGCTGCGCACGATCATCCTCTTCGGTGAAATCACGCCATAGATTAATCGTCGAGTCCGCACCACCACTGACCATCTCAGAGCTGTCCTTGGACACAGCAAGTGCCCAGATCTTGTCCTCGTGATTGTCGAGGGTAACTTCACACTCGTTGCTCTTGATCGTCCACAGCTTCACGAGACCGTCAGCACCCGCAGAAAAAAGCTGCATGCCAGCACATGCAAACTGCACGTTCAGGACAGATGCCGTGTGGCCCTCGAACGTCTTGAGACACGAAAAATCTTTGGCGGACCACACCTTCACAGTCTTATCACCACTGGCAGATGCAAGACACTGATCGACTGGAGAAAACTCGACAGCCCAAACACCGCGCTTGTGACCACGGCAAACACCAGCCAGGGTCAAAAGACGACCAGCACCTGCTTGCTGCGAGTGCCATACTTTGATAAGTTTATCCTGCGATGCACTAGCAATAAAGCGGTCATTTGGAGATACCGCGAGAGCGTTCACGTCCTTATCGTGGGCTTTTATAGTACCGAGCGAAGAGATCGTCAGATTTGTCGGCGCAGGCTTCGCAGGGGTAGCATACAATCCAGCAAGAGACTGCAGACTCCACATCTTTAGCGTCTTGTCCGAACTGCCCGTCACAAAGTAAGCCGCACCAGTGGCAAAGCTGGTGGCTCGCTGCGATATGGCGATAGCACCAAGAGCCTCAGTATGACCCACACATTTTGCAATACAACGCGGCAAAGTCTTTCCCATTTGCTTGCCGCCAGTCGGTCGCAAGTCCCAAAGACGAGCCGTTCGATCCTTGGAGGCACTTACAAGCCACCGACCGTCTGGAGAAACCTCCAGGGCCATGACAATATCCGCATGACCTGAAAGAAGCTCGCAGGAGAGAGTATTACGGTTCACAAGACGGATCTGCTCACTGTTTGTGGCCACTACCAAGACATCCGAAGGTGCACCGCTCGCATCAGCCTTTGGAATATACTTGAGATTGAGAATATCATCGTTGAAGCCAATAATCTGAGTCCGACGAGTCAAATTTTCATCAAAAACAAGGAAGTTCTGTTCGGATGACACAACCACTACCTCACGACGAGTAGCACTTAGCAGCATATCCGTGTATGTTAGTGCTGACGAAGCGTCTGACTTCTGCGTGAAAAGGATCTCGCAAGCATTGCCGCTGCTACGCCACAGCCGCAACACACCTTTCTCTCCAGCACTTACAAAGTGGATTGCTTTTGCATCCAGAGACTTGCCAGAAGCAGCATGCGTAACACACTCGAACGTCGATGGCACGACCACAAGCCCCTCCACCGCTTCGTGCACCAACACCGTCTTGCTCAGCTTCTGATCGCGCAAGTCCCAAAAGTTCACCACCTTGTCACGTCCAGCCGAGAGCATAGTATACCCATCTTCCGAAAACGCCACACTCGTCACGAGACTCATATGATCCTGAATGCACGCAACCTGCTGCTGCGTGTACAAGTCCCAGACACGCACCGTGGTGTCATCACTAGCCGACACAAGCATACACCGCGCCGCATCTGGATGAAACTGCACGAGCGTCACAATACCCGAGTGGCCACGGAAGTTGTGCGTACAAAAGCCCTTGTCCACGTCAAAGACCTTGACCGTGCGGTCGCTGCCTCCTGTAGCCAATAGCGTGCCCGACGCGTCAAAGGCCATTGCCAGCACGGGCGTGTCATGAGCTTTGATGGTCCGGACGCACTTGAACGTGTCCAGATCCCACACGCGTAGCAGCAGATTGCGTCCCGCCGTCACGAGCTGGTTCTTCTTGCCTGGACGGACGGCAAAGACCACAAACGACTCTTTAGCCTCCTCTTCCTCCACGTCCTGTTGCAACGTGCGCGTGAGCTCTCCCGTAACGGCATCGACGATCGCCAGGTCATCGTGCAGCATACAGGCCAGAAGCGCGCGAGGCTCTCTATCTGCACTAGTGTAGCCATCCAAGAGCTCCACTTTGCCGCCTGTGTACACGCCTGTGTGAGTCTTGATCGTGCGCCAGCTCTTGGACAGTCCGGAGCGGGTCGAGTAGCTGCTGCTGGATGCGCTGGGGGGCGCTAGCGTCGCGGTCGAAGAGCTGCTCATCGTCGTCGTTCAGGTGGATGATGATGATGGACAATGGCGATGGGTGGACAGTGACTGGTAGACGACGACAAGAGCTGGTGGTTGTATTCCAGATAGGGTACGCTAATGGTTTTAAAGGGCTACATTCTTGCGTGGGATGAATGAAGTAGTGCGCGTATCAAGAGGTACATAAAATACGATTCGCCGTCGCAATTTGGAGATTATCCACGATAAAAGCTGACGACCTGTTGAGATTCTGCTGTATAAAATCTAGTCGGAAGACCACGAGATTTTCAGTGCGAAAACCGGAAGAACTTCACACTAGAATATCTAAAACAAAATCCAGTGACAGCTCGATCTCAAAACTAGACTCGAGAAATGCCAAATTACAAAACCCGCTCGCAGGTCACGTCCATTCAAGTCACTGCTACTTTCCAAATGGAGATGGAAGTACGCGCTGCCGTGAAGACTGGAGACGTGGCCAAGCTACAGAAGCTGCTGGACACTGGCGTCCATTTGGATACCAAGGATCAGGATGAGCGCACGCCGCTGCATTGGGCGTGTACCTATGGTCGTTTGGACGTGGCGGAGTTTCTAATGGAGCAAGTTCGTGCTTCCATTGACGTGCAGGACGATGCTAAGTGGACGCCCCTCGTGAGTGCTGTCTCTGCTGTGTTATAATGATATCGTTGGACTGCTGCTGAGCTGAGGCGCTGATGCCGATATTGCCATTGTGAACGGACAGATTCCGTTGCACTAATATAAAGGTGGGTGGGTTATCAACAGAAGGGGTGAATTTGAATCACCTGGTCTGATACTGACGGATGCTTTTTTGGCTGCTGATTGACAGGAAGGCAATAAATTGCAGAGCTGCTGCTGGACTGTACGGAGAATGTTGACCATGCGGTATGACGAGCTTTTAGTTGAAGATTCCATTTCGAGTGTCTTGGACGGTGGGATTATGACTTGAAGTGGAGTGACTAACGCGGGCTGGTGACGGTGTGGATGGCAGGATAGTACTGGGAGCACCCGCTGATGCGGGCGCTGGGTGGCAAACCTAGTCTAGGTAGGAGGTGTTGGGGGATGATTGTTTATTGCATGGGGTCTAAGCTGTACTTACATTTTGTCCATGTGGCTCGCAGCGATTATTGTGCAACTTGTTGAACATGGGGCAAAAGTCGATGTCGCGATGTCGATGGCAACACTCCGTTGCACTTGGCTATGAGTGAGGGATATGAGGATATCGCGCGTTATTTGCTAGACTTCGGAGCCGATCGGAGCGCGAAGAACAACGAGGGGAAGCGCTGCGTTGACTCGGCAAATTCTGCATTCGAAGCGGAAATTCATGCCATTGTGTCTAACTGAAAGAATGTGATGATCATCTGTGATCTGAATCCCGACAAGATGAGCAGCTTAAGGCAATGTCGTTGCACTTCGTCTGACGCAGTGATGATACTCAGTTGTCGTCCGTGGTGACATCAGGAGTGTCCATCACGATGAGTGAGGCCAGCAATGCGTTCCCCAGAGAACCAAAGTCCTCTGCTTCACATCGACCTTGATGCGAGAAAGATTTGGATTAATTATGTTTCGGAGGAGACTCACCATCGACAACAATGATTTCGTTCCGCTGCTAAAAGTCCGCAAGCGGGCGATTTGCGTTCCGTCTGGCTGTTGAAAACGTATTCAACAAGATGCGTCCACCATGTACTACGAACACGGTTACGACATGGGAGTGATTTTAGCTGGTCACTTGGCGATTTAACCATGGTGGAAGGTACGCATGGCATGTGTACCAGCAGATCACGGATGATCAAGTCGGAGAAGTACCATCACGGATGACGAACTCGGAGTACTTGCCATGTGAACGAAGTTCGATCAAGACCGGTGTCCTTCGAGCGTAAAGTCAAGAACTCGAGTCGAAACTTCGGACGTCTGTGCGTTATATGGGTATCATCGGTAGATGCGACTAGGGCTCTCCGAAATGTGCATTTTCGCCGGATGTTATCAATCGTAGATGAGACAGCCGCCCACTTCGACCTAACGAATACTTCCACTCGATCGCCTGTGCAGCGGTTTCCACAATACGCCGCAAGTTGCGTGAGCACCATATCGGGTCTCGTTCCCGCGTTCTTCCTCTTCAAAAAGTGCTGCAATGCGAGTGGGTCTCTTGACTAATTCTTTCGGCGGCGCGCGACGCACGACAAAGTCAGAGTCTTTGTCCACATTCTGGCTCATAGCCACGTTCTGGCTTGCAGCCGCATTCGCTTTTGCAATATTTACAATAGCAGTCGCCAAGTCGCGTTGCTCGCTCGCTTCCGTAGCTGCAACACCAGCACTCACCGCCTTCAATTCAGCTTGACGTTCCTGGAACGGATACTATCACAAGGAAGTAGCACACACATGAGAACAACAAGGCAGCTCTACACCCACATTGAGATCTGTCGCATCTCTCTCCCATACCTTGGATCGGTTCACCACGAACACAAACGTAACACATACATCCGGGTCAAACTTCTTGGCTTGTGGATCCGTCGTGCGATGGCGGTACCCCGGAAAAAGCCGACTGTCAAACTTCCGTCGCTCTTTGAGGACAAAGCCAGCCTCTTTGGCTCGGTCCTCGACGAACCAGTTCGAGTACGGCGGCTGCGTCTTGAGCGTCACGTGAACTTCCCCGTGCACCGATAAGCGATCCCGTGCACTCTCGAAAAAGTCCAGTAGCAGTGCCCGATTGATGTGCACGCGCTGCTGACCACTGTGTGGGAAGTTGAAGATGATATACTGGAAGACGTCGGGGATGGTCTTCGACCCCGTGCCCGTCTGCACGCGTTGGGGCAACTTTAGCAACTTGGTCGCATCGACGTCGTGCAACACAAGACCGAGGGACGACTGCACAGCTGCGATGCACTCGTGCGCGTTCGAATACTTGGCGCGGACTTTACTGTCCGAGTCGAAAGAGGTTGCAACGACTCCCAATCCAGTGCCCCGGTGCTTGACGAGGCCGCGAGAAAAGGAGAAGTCGCCGTCTCCGACTACGAGGACTCCGTCCCCAGGTGCGTAGAGATGGGCGGGTGTAGGCTGAAGCTCGTGGCGTTGTCGCTTCAAGCAGCGACTACTGTCGGAGCTGCTGGGACCAGAAGCTCGACGCTTTTGTGAGCTTTTCAGGCGAGCCATTTTTGCCACTGAGGGACGATTAGCAAATGATACGATGGAAAGTGGCACAATAACACGGAAAGGGGCGCAATAACACGGAAAGTAGCGCAATAATACGGAAAGTGGCGCAAAAATACGGAAAGTGGCGCAATACTACGGAAAGGGGCGCAATAATATGGAAAGTGGCGCAATAATACGGAAAGAGGCGCAATAATACGGAAAGAGGCGCGATAACACGGAAAGTGGTGCAATAATACGGAAAGTGGCGCAATACTACGGAAGTGGCGCAATTATTGGCGAAGTGGCAGCAAGCAGCAAAATGACTATCAAGAGGCAAGGATTGACAACTTTATCTGCGCGACTTCCTTGTCTCGAGCTCGACTATGTGAACCAGACGGTCTTAACGTCGTCCTGACCAAACATCTTTTTGCATGTGGGACACTTGCGGTTGCGCGCCTTGAGATTCGTGTCAATGCAGTCCTTGCAGAACATGTGGAAACACTTGGAGATAATCACGTCCTTGCGCCGGTCCTGACAGACGGAGCAATTCACGAGCTTCTGCAAGTCGCGGAGCTCGAACCGCTCTAGATCCGTGAGCTCACCCGTACAAGTCGCCGATTTGAAATGTTGCAGCTCCCGTTCAACGTCCTCCATCTTCTTGCGGAGTACCGTGCAGTTCTCACACGACTTCTGCCTTTCCTGCAGCAGTCGCTGCTCGCGCTGTGACCTCTCTACTGCCTCGCAAACCTTTTTCGATACTTCGGCATCTCGCAGCACCTTGCGCTTTTCAGCATCTGAAGCCTCACGCTCTGTCTCAAGCGTCTCCACGTATTCTTTCATCTTCTCGAGCTCCGCCTCTTTTGCTTCCAAGGACTCCTGCAGATGATCAGGGAAAATGGGCACAACCGTTTGTCAGCATCGCTATCGCTATACACAGGCACGAAAAGGCTTTGCGATGCGTACCTTGGATGACTCGATGAAAGTCTTCTGATGTTTGTGTACGGTGCTCAGAGATGAGACCTGCAGCCGAACAGCAGCCAACTCTTCGAAGCAGTGCGCTTTGGCTTGCTCCTCCCTTGCAAGCAGCGTGTGAAGCTTCTTATTCGCCTTGCGCTTCTCTTCAATCTGCTGAATATACTTCTTCCGACCGTGGCGCAACGAATTGACTTCTTTTGAGATCGTATCGATCTCCAATAGCAAGGCGTCATTTTCTTCTCGTGACGCTTCACTGGAAGTCTTCAAATCCTCAATCCCAGCACGCAGTATTTCTCGTTCCGTTCTACAATCGTGGTGCTCTTGCCTCTCTTTTTCAAGCTTATTCTCCACTTCCGATAATCGCTGGAAAGCGTCGGACAGCTTCTCATCCGCACCTTTCCTGTCGGGAGATGGCAACATTAATCAAATCGCTCAGAGCTACAACAAAGCAATTCGATACAACGTATCGCGTACATTTCAGCGTTTTTCAGCATGTCGAAAGTCTGGTGCAAATCCAGCTTTTCCTTCGTCAACAGAGATACCTAGATTATCACGCGCATCAGGCGATTAGTATAGGAAAAGTCGAACATTCAGAGCCCTTATCGTACGGAATTCCAGGTTCACCTTTTGCGTTAGTGTCTGGATTTCACGATTGTCTGCCGAAACTTGCGCTCGATCTGCCCGGTTTTGTTCACGCTCGATTTGTGCTTTCAGCTTTACGTTTTCACGCTTGCATGACTCCAATTCTGGCTTTACTTCCGACAGCTTCACACCGATACAAAAGCAGCAACAATAAGACCCCTGAAAGTGCTGTAGAACCACCAGAAACTCTCACCTGATCTCTGTAGGTCGATGCGTTGGAGATCTTCTCTCGAAGAGATACATTCTTCAGATTCAGCTCATCCATTTGCGACTTTGTTTTGCTCATTTCTGCCTGAATTTTGGATATTTTCTTTTCCCATTTATCCGTCATATGATGCTCCAGATCCTGTTTTATGTAAACACCAATCGCAAGTTTCGTAAGTACACGCCAATAAACGTGGACATCTCCTACAAGCACGACAGGATACCTTTGATTTATGCAAAAGTTCGTTGTATTCTTCGTCAGCGTGCGCCTTCTCATCTTGAAGCTGCTTGATTGTTTCTTTATGAGCTTGTACTAAAACAGCCTCGTCATTTTTCCACTGCGTATACGCAGACACGATTGTCAAATGTCAGAAAAATAAACAACAACGACGTCAAATGGGGAAAGCGCAATTGCGTACCGCCACTTCCATTGCCTTGAACTTCTCCAGCTCTCGTCGCATCAATTCAAGTTTTTGACGCTCTTGGTACAACTTAGTGCTCAAAATTCCCATATTCTCCCTCATCGTTGTAACAACTGTAGCGTGTTCCATCTCTTTTTTTGCAATAGCTTCTTGTTGCGCAGTCTCAGAATTCGGTGACCTCGATGTCGTTGTAGCGCAAGACTGCTCAGTATCTACAACATCTTTGCTTTTGCTATCACTCTCACTGACATCATCCGCTTTGACGTCACCACTTTGCTCAACGTATGCACTCAGGCGGTCGTAATCTCGACAAGCTCGATGACGTTCAATTTCCTTGATCTCAACATCACGTTCGAGTTCAGTTATTCGCGTTTTGCACTGTGTCACAACATGCGCCATCAGTCAGCCCCCCCCATTTTACCAAATAGTTAATTTCAAACGTGAATGTACCGTATGTAGCCGGCCCTTGAGATCGAGCGTTTCCGCGACCGCGGCTCGTTTTGCTTGCAGAATGTGTGCATATTCAATCGACTTGGCCTTACTTTCCGCACAATCCGCCGCCACTGCGAGCAGCTTCCGTAACAACTCCTTCATCTTTTCACTTTTTTGCCCGAGCTGAGCATGCAGTTTCGTTTCCACAATTGACCGGCCGTGTGTTTTAATCAACGTGCCATCGTCTGCAACGTCGTCCATCGGCAACAACGCATCAGCATCCGGCTCTGCTGTCTCTCCGTCTCTAGGTACAATACTAAACCACTCTGGCAGATGTAACAGGAGGTCTTCTGGATGGACACGGACCTGTCCAAAGTCATCCACAGCTTCTAATGCTGCATGCCAGGCTTCCTTGCACGTCTCATCCGATACAGCACAAGGGTCTACTGTTTTTAGTGTGGCCAAGAGCTCGTCCTGGAGCTGGAGCCACTGTCTCCTCACGCAGCAGAAGGACGCGCTCGTGATCTCTCGCGAGCGATACAACGTCTCGCATTTCTTGGTCAAGTACGCGACTCGGCGGTTCTTCTCCTTGATATCGATGCCCAGAGCCTTATTCTTCTCGCGAATGGCCTCAATTGTGTTAGGGTTTGCCTCGAGCGGCGTCCCGTTCTCCAGTTTGATCTTCTTAAGTACGGAATCACTTCCCGACAGCGTCTCGCGGCGCTTCTTCTGCCCGACGCCATTGTCCCTCGAGCACACGTCCGTGTCCGCCATCGTTCGATCGTCACGTGTCGCCAGTCCGAGCCTCCTCTCCCTGTCCTTGCCGTCAACGCTCCAATCCTCGCTCCCTCCCCTTCTAGATGTACCAGTAGTGTAGAAGCTGCTACTTTTTAGCGTTATAACCAGCACTTTTACGATAAAAGAATCGATTTTAATTTGGAGGCTTATTCTCACCTAGAAGCCGAAAAGACGTTGGAGCACCATAAAACTGAGTGGAACGACGCTGACGACTAGTGCCGCAATGATGGCAACGAGCAGCAACATGCGGGAACTTGACTCGCGAGCAAGTTTCGACAGACAGAGACGTCCCAGAAGCGTCATCATGAAACCCAGCGGCATGAGGAACTTGGCCAAGTTCAGGTCCAGCTTGCCCCAGAGGAAAAAGCTAAAAGATGCCACTGGAACACATGAATTCACGAGGCGTCAGTAGAGCTATCGCCGATACAGCATTTATGGCAGAAGCAGGTTACGTACTGCCAGAGACGAAGAAGACGGCGGTTGCGGCCATCGATGATACTGCGGCTGGGGTAAAGTTGACTCCGCGCAGCAAACGGGACATCGCCTCTTCACTTCCAACACCAAACGCTCCTCCTGCCGCTCCAATTCCCAGTAGATGAAGCGGCAATTTCCTGATTGTGTCCATTGACCACTGCATAGCAATCACGACTATCATGGTTATCATCCACTCGACATGGTAGCCAGTAAGCAACCGCACTCTACCTGGACTTCATTCGGCGCAAGGATGAATCGAGGGTCCTGCTGCCTTTGGTACGTCGCCACAACGCCTTTCATTTGGTAGTGCGACACGACCGAGAGGAAGAAAAATGGCAGCATCGAGACAAGCAACGAGAAGATAGACGTAGGAGGGATTCCGAGCGGGCTAGGAAAGTACTTTCCACCCTGAAGCGCCGTCAGCAGCACTGTTGCAGCGAAGAGGCCAAAGTTGGTTCCCACCTTACGCCAAGGGATACGGGCACTGGATAGCAAGTCATCACCGCCGCTCTGGGAGTAAAACTCATTTTCAGTCGACCAGATCAGACCATGACCCACTAATCCTTTAGCTGCTGCAAACGTACCTGAGACTGAAGTGATGGTGCACCAAGCAGCGACATCGACCCACTTCTGCTGCAACAGCTCCAACCCTCTTCATGACCGACTGTACGAGCCTTTTTGAACACGTTCTTGCCAATGTACGCTAAGTACACGATCAGTGCAACAAGGAACAGCCAAGTGGAGAACCACGAGGTGATGCTCGCGCCAAACACAGTTCCCACTACACGAGATAACGGTCACAGTTAATCAAAGATGAGAAAACTGGCGTACGCAGTGCTCAAGTCCATGTCTTACTCAGCAGCATGGGCTGCACCATCAGGACAAAGTCCCAATCAATCAGCGCGTCATTCGAGTTGACAGTTTTCCTCAAAAAGTTCAAGCAGAAGTCGCAAACAGCTTTGGACAGCCACACGTCATTGTCAGTAAGCTGCAGAGCGCTAGCATCATCAATCACCATATTTTGATCTTACCTCCTCCAAAAACGGTCACGCTTGCTAAGGGTATCGCCTCCTATGATCCCATCCACAACACAATAGTTTACAACAGAGCCTTCTGTGCGCAGTTGATAGAAGTCCAGAGCCACGTACATTCGGACCCAGCTTCAGCACCAAGATGAAGACTGCATCCAGTACTGCTCCACCTTCAATAGTAGTCCCTGAGGCAATGAGCATCACCAACGCAGCCAGCAGTAACCCAAGCAGTTCATAGAGTTTCTCTGCAGATTGCAACACTTGGTGCGTCTTGTAGGGCACGTCTTCCGGAGGGAACGTCGAGATGGGACCGAATCGGACGGGGTTTTCTTCTCCGTCCAGTGGTTGAGCTGATACGGCCACCACAGCGAGTGCGAGCACTACCACCTTTTGCACCAAAGACTTTAGCCGGCACATTGTGCTCCTGCGTTCACTTTCTTGAATCTACGAGAGCTACGATTGATTAGTCGTACGATTTCAAGAATATGGTGATTGGTTAAAAGTCACTTTGTGTGTTAAGTCGCACTTGCAGCAATTGGCACAAAGCCGGCTCAACTGTGACGCCCGCGCTGAAGTAAACACGTCACATAGACGCATTCCATTTGTACGGTTCCGTGCAACTCTGCATGCGTTTATAGTGATGTGTCTCCACTGTGCGACGTGATCGGGTCGTCCGTTCACTCTTTTTGTACTCAATGCATTGCTACGTACGGCAACGTCCTTTGATTTCTGAATTCCAATACGTAGTAGGTCGGCGCGCAAAACCCCATTTGCGAGATGATCGATAATGCCTGCGCAGCTTGTACTAGCGCACTTTATTGGAGACAGCATGGATCAGAAGGACCTTCAGCCTCGTTCGTACAAGAAGAGCGATCTGGCATTGGAGCGGGAGGACGTTCACTTTCCTTTGCACCAATAGAGCGACTAGGAAACGGATCATCAGCAAACGAGAAGTCGTCCTTGAGCTTCACAGCAAAGCAGGCGGCAACTCGGCCATACTTTGCAGAGTTCGTCCAACCTGGGTACTCCGACCGAAGCACAATCGACACACAGCTGCCGAGCTCAACGTGCTCCAGCAAGTCAGTAGAGGCATCGAATTGCTTGCGGTGGTGGCGGAAATTCCGGCTGGCACGAAGATTTGGCCACAATGGTACACGCACCGTCTCCGCGCCCCCTACCTCCTTGCTTGTTGATGATACTGACAATTCACACCAGGAGCTTGATTTACGATACGTTCCGTTATGTTCTCGTTCGTCTGTGGCCCAGCCTTGATCTTTTGACACACAATCCGTCACCAGCAAGAAACACTTATCCACGTCCACTCCATGAGGAAGATGTAGCTGGTCGGCAGTTGGTACCTGTAGCTGCACATAGTTCTCATTCATATTGCTGCGTCCGTGACAGAACTCAGACGTCTCCGTCTCGAACAGAAGCAGAACGCCCGCAAACTCGAGGATGTTATTCACGACATCGACTGGGAACTGGTGCTGCGCTACGACCGACGCAATGTACAGGATCTCCTCCATCGTGCGCGGCTGAATCGCAGACTGCAGATCCTCTTCTTGTGTTATTAGATGCACCTCGTGACTTGAAAAGACGTCGTCGTCTACCAGGAACACGCCCATATCAGTGCGAGCTGCCGTCATTCTCTCGGCGCTTTTCCAGCTTTGTCTTTGAAGCTCGACACGGTTTCGACCAATCACGGAACGTTGAAGCTCGTCTGTCAGAAAAAGACCGCTTAACGTATCGTCCCATCAATGTTCTTAACCGAAATGTCCACCGACGAGCTGCCCGAGTGACGAAACACAGAGTGGACAGTCGAGACACTGGAGCGAGGTGTAACTGACGTTCGCATCACCAGAGCAGCGAGGTCTTTTCTAACCTTTTCGAACCTTTTTCGAACCCATTTCGCACCGCCAAACGACGTTTGCGTGCAAAAGGCCAGAGAGAAAAGAAGGAATCATCGCAGCGCGTGGGACGCGAACGATGCAACGCAAGGCGAAGGACGACGCGCGCAAGGCCCGTCCACAGCAGCTCGTGTTCTCCACCAAGAAGGTCGGCCGCAAAGCGAGAGATAAAACGCGCCCGCTGCCGTCGCAATCGTCGCTTGAAGACGATCCCAAACCTGCTGCTATCCAGCATCAAAGCGAGTCCAGTGCCTCGTCTGCCAACGCCCCGGAGCGCGCGCGACACCGCTCGAGTCGCAGCCAACACCGCAGTCACTCTGTGAATAGTATGCAGCCGTCGCGCGCGCTGTTACAAGGCGACCAATCGACTGTGGCCCAATGTGTGCGGGCGATGGTGGAGCGAGAGACGGACGCAGCGCTGCTGGTGGATCGAAACGGCTTGCTGACGGGCATTCTAACGGACAGAGACGTAGCGGTCAAGGTGGTGGCGGTAGGGAGGGATCCCTGTAAGACACTGGCGCACGAGGTCATGACGCCGGGTCCGTCGTGCGTGTCAGCGAGTGCTAGTGCCATTGATGCACTCAAGACGATGATTTCGGGACAGTTTCGGCATTTGCCAGTGACGGACAATGATAAAGGTCGGGAAAGAGCAAGAGTGAGGCAGAAACGTGTCGTTGTGAACTGATTGGTGGAGTGTTTTGTTGTTGTAGTGGTGGGGATTCTGGACATTGCCAAGTGTCTTTATGAAGCTATTACAAAGCTCGAGCAGGCTTATCGACGGTCGTCGGATCGACTTGAAGAGACGGTGAAGAAGGTAAGATTGTGTAGAAGTGGGAATGTAGGTTGCAGGTTCTGAGGTTCGTGGTGTCTTTTGGACGGTAAATGACATGTAGCTGCAAGACAGTCTGGACGGGTCGAGTGAAGCAAACTTGTTTGAGTCATTACGGCAGAAGGTAAGAGGACTGTGTGCGTGTTTTAGTGGACCCGTGTCTTGTAGTTTGACGCTTTCGTTACAACTCTGTAGCTATTCTTGCCAACACTTTCGGCAATCATCGTCCACGGTTCCGAGGTGCCGGTTCTGAGTCCGACATCGTCAGCAATGGATGCAGCACGTCTCATGTTAATACAGAAGACAAGCGCTGTGATGGTTTGCGATGAAGCGAATCGGACTGTGGGTATTTTCACGTCAAAGGACCTGATGCGCCGTGTGGTTGCCATGACGCTCCAGCCGAGTCAATGCTTACTCTCTAGCGTGATGACGCCGAATCCTCAGACAGCCACGCTGGGAACAACAATCTTGGAGACGCTTCATTCGATGCACCATGGGAAGTTCTTACATGTTCCTGTGTACGACGATGGTAGCGCGCTGGTGGGTATTGTAGACGTGCTGCAAGTCACGCACGGCGTCGTTCAACAAATGGGCACTTTTCAGAGCGTGAAGAGCGATAGTGTGCAGCCGCTGTGGGACCAGTTTCGCAGTAGTTTGGAGAATGCAAACAAATTGTCGGACAACACTGAGCAAGACAAAGTCATCAGCGATGAATCAAGCGTTTGTGTCGACCATCCGGATGCAGATGGAGTCGATATTGCATCCTTGGTTGGTCGCCAGTCCTGGAGTGATTTTCAATCGTCAGCAGGAACGAGTGGTACAGGCGATCCTGCGACGCTGGATGAATCGGGGCATGTACCCGCCGTATTCGTTTACAAGCTTGCCGATTGTTATGGAAACAACCACCGATTCATGAGCTCTGCTGAGTCTGTGAAGGAGCTCCTTGTAGACGTTCAAAATCGACTGGGCGACAGCACAATTCGAAGAATCCTGTACGTCGACGACGAAGGCGACCATGTACGCTTGGGCCACTACTGTTTTTTGCTTTTGCCTGAGTGTTAACACGTGCTGTGAATGGATGCATGCAGATACTGCTTTCTGAGGACTCGGACTTGAAGGACGCCGTTAATCGAGCGCGCACATGGGGCAACAAGTACATTCGCCTAATGGTCAAGGGGAGCTCCTACAACCACCTTGCTGTCCGCCGCGCATTGGCTAGCAACTCGGACACAGCAATCGGCATGGTCGTGTATGCTGCTGCTGTAGCAGCGCTTGCTGGCGCATCTTTCTTTCTTAGTAGGCGGAAGTAGTGGCTCGAGGTTCGCAGCATGTGAGTCGACGTTTTTGTATCAGTCCGCGCGTGGCGCAGTTCAGTGCAACCATCACCTCGCAATGTCCCGATGAAATCAATGAAGTTTTATTATTTGAACAGAGTCGCAGCGTGAATAAATATGGGCTGCTCACAGGAGTATGCGCTTATCAAATCCGAGCAATTCGGACGGTGCAAAGCGACGCTTGTAGGACAAATAGCAGCTTATATGGTGATACATGACGCCGCAGCTGAAATGTGCATCACGCTGAAGAGCAACAACAGCACGGTCGAGGTCCACGAGAACAAGTGCGGAAAATAGACCATTAGCGTCCAGAGACCGCAGAGGAAGACGCCGGTAAGGACTAGAAGTGAGCTCTGAGGCTTCCAGTTCATGAAGTTCGCTGGTAGCGCTGCTGGCAAGTGGGGTTCTGGTGCTGCTTTCCATCACGATACACCACACAAAGCCATTAGCGTCCACGCAAAAGAAAGCTAGAAAGAGCCACACGCCATTGCTGCACACACGTACGCGCATCGGTAATGACACTATGGATCACGCCGTTCTCTTCAATGCCGTATTCACCCATCGTGCGAGTGGGAAGCAGCAACATGCCCATGTAAATGAGCCTAATCTTCCGACATTGTGTGAGCTCCTCTGCAAAGAACTGCAGAAAAAACGACAGAAACAGCCAAGAATCAGCCAAATCGCGAGTAGGCGCACGCGAATCCAATACCGCTCACCTTGCCAACAAAGTCATCAACTCGCTGCGTAGCTTTGAACCACGCGACTCGAATGGTTTCGCCTTGTCGTAAACGAATCGAAACAAAACCTTCGGGAACCTCGTGGCTCGATGCTTCGACACCTTGGTCCTCAAATTTCTAAACAAACTCAAAAATAAACGCGTGCGTCAGATAGAAAGTAGCTGCAACAAGTAGCTGCAAGAAGTAACTGGTACTGGTCTCGCACCGCTTTGCTTTGCACCAACGCGACGATCCTGCGAGTGTGCACGCACCATACAACAGTTATATCAATTTGTGTGTGTCCATTTCGTAGACTGTTGTGACCGTTAAGTAACAACCACTTGTCAATTCACGTACTCTGCGTCGTTAGTCACGAGCGTCCACTCGTCTTGAAGAGCAACAGGAGAGAAAGGAGTTGCATCTGACGAGTCCATGAGGCTACTACAGAGACAGAGGCAGAGTGAGAATCCTTTTGTGTTGTAGACGGCGAGAAGCCAACTGAATGCCAAAATTTTGTACGACATGTGACGAGGAACTTCAACGAACTGACCGAATCTCCGGCCACCGAACAGCTTCTCTCTATCGGCTACAGCACGAGTTCTCGTCGCTTTATTCTGGCAAACAGGTGCACGTCCGATCGTGAGATATACACAGACAATCCATTTCGGATCGTCACTTCGTCATTCCGAGAAACGCGTGAGAAAAGCGACACGGACGATTGGGGCACGGAACTGCAACTGAAGCGAAAGGACAAAAACAATGGAGAGACGAACAGTCGTGACCCGTGTGCTGTACAGCGCAGTACGGGACAGAGTAGACTGATTCACTTGCAGCAACGTCAGTAGCGATAGTCCAGAGCACGTGGTTCGGTGCCAAAGCGAGCGTGTGGATTGAGGTTTCGGGTGCATGCATTGTTAGGTTGTGTGATGTGTCACTACGCAGACCACTCATGGAACTTGGACTCGTGCTCGTCGATGCGAGTTGCACTGGACTTTCTTCAACGAAACGTTCGTCAAGAGTCAATAGTCGTGACTCCCTATCGGGGTCATGTGATGATAGTACAGAAGGTTTCATAGAGATGCGACCTGTTGCATTCTACCGCTTAAGACCCTCCGCTCCATCCGTTGGCTCGAAGGAAAGCGGGCATCCACCTGGTTGGTCCAAGGGCTTGCGCGAGTTGCTCACTCGAGTTGAAGCCCCACTGTTGTCGATAACCGACAACTCTGGTCTGGTCTTGATCAAAGCAGGGGCATTACCCAATCATTTGGCCACGCGTCAACCGCCATGATCCGCCCGTGGCTGCTGCTAAAAGTGGCAGCATTATGCTTCGTTTCTCCTGTCCCTATCGTCGCTAAGGGACACGACGATCCGTCCTCGCGTTTCGATAAGTTTGCAGACGAGCGCTACGTCCGACAAGATCGCGCTGACCCCGAGCACGTGGTACCGCTGATCATTGGAGTGTTTCCGGGAGACTTTGACGCACTCGAACGAGAGTTCTACGGTGTCTCCGACCCAACGTGCGTGTGATAGAAATGGCTACATCCAGATATGACGCAGCTGATGGAGCAGACTGACACTAGAGCTTTTGTGTGTATTGGATGTAGACAGCCGCAGTACGGCCAGTATCTCGCCCAAGAGCAAGCAGACGTTCTCTCACGGGGCTCTTGATGCAGTGCGCGATTGGGTTGCAGATTGCTCTCATGGTGAGAATGGGGGGACCTTTTTGCCAACGTCGAATCTGTACAAGGTGCCGATGAAGGTGAAGCACATTGAACGACTGCTGAACACGGAGCTTTATCACTACGAAGCGAAAAGAACAGACGCGACATCGCCGATGAAGCGACGGAGGTTGATGCGAGCAACGAGTGCTTTGATGGTGCCAGAACATCTCGAGGACGTCGTGTCGTTTTTGAGCGTCAATACGCATCCACTGGGTCTGCGAGCACTTGGCGCAGCTTCGTCACAACACGTGGCAGCAATGGATGGCGAAAGTGAAGGAGGTACATTGGAAACAATTCGGCGGACGTACGGCATTCCTGATGGACTTGTCGCGACAAATCCGAGCAGTACGCAGTGCGTGCCATCTTTCTTCAACGAGTCGTATGATCTGGAGGATTTGAGCACTTTTTTCGAGCAGTTTTTGCCAGGAGAAGACGTTCCACGTATCTTGAGAAAGGAAGTCGAGTCAACCAACCTGATCAGGCAAGTTCTGAGATAACACTGGACGTGCAATACCTCACGGGTGTCTGCCGCAATGCCACGACATTTGTTTGGACCATGAATGGCAGTAATCCGTACTCGTCCGAAGATGAACCGTTTGTAGAGTTTGCTGAAGAAGTGCTGGCTCTAGAGAATCCACCTCTCGTTATCTCAATAAGCTACTCCGATGACGAAGAGCACATTTTTAACGTCTCGCCAGGTTACGCGCGCACTTTGGATATTCTTCTTATCAAGATGGGGTTGCGTGGAATCACGGTGCTTATCGCCAGTGGTGACGACGGGGTGACTGGACTACGCCCTGAGTTTATGAAGATACCTGTCGAGAACATGTGCAGGCAAAGTGGTCCGGAATGGCCGTCGTCGAGTCCATACATCACTACGGTTGGTGCCACAATGCTTTTGACGGGAGTACGCGAAGCGGAAAAGCCGTTTTATCGCACAAAGGAGGAAGTGGTTTGCAGTGTTGAGGACGGTGGAGTCATTACATCCGGTGGCGGGTTCTCCAACATTTACTCAATGCCGGATTACCAGCGCACAGCGGTCGAGAGATACTTGACAACTCGAGATATTCCGGCCGCTCCAGGGTTTTTTAATGCTAGTGGACGTGCCTATCCAGATGTGTCAGCATTAGGCAAACGATTCCAGGTGTATAAAAATGGTCACCTCACTTCGGTATCCGGAACTTCAGCGTCAACACCTGTAATTGGCGCGATGGTGACACTATGGAACGATGCACGGCTGAATGCTGGTAAAAGCCCGCTAGGATTTATCAATCCTCTCCTCTACTACCTTGCAGAGACCCATGTCGATACATTTCACGACGTGGTTGTGGGAAATAATGGAGCTGCACGTGGAAAAACTGATCCGTGCGAGAACGCGTTCAGCACTACTGGTGGGTGGGATGCAGTTTCTGGAGTGGGCACGCCTAATTTTTCCGTGATTCTCGAGTTCATTTCAAATCTCGAAGACCACTTCAACGTCTCACAACCGCGCAGCTCAAGTAATTCCGACGTGCCTGATACGAGCAACAACTCAGTGATTCCGACGACAATGTTTGCCGGAAAGAGCGTGTTCATGATGGTGCTGCTAGTAGTAGTAGTGGTTGCAAACGTGGCCATCAGCATCGTAGTGGTCGTCACCCTGGTAAAGCGGTGGAGGCACCAGTATACCCCTCTCGCTGATGCTGCCATGACTAGCAACAACCCCACCGTTTCCGCCTCAGGTAGTCCCTCCGCAGCAACTCGCCGCACGAAAGGGGACTTGGATGCTGATAGTAGTGAGGATGATGCCGAGCTGAGTGAGATCAGTTTGAATCCATGACAGCACAGCCGTCTTATCGATACGTAAATGTGCCTGTTTTGTTGCAGTACATCTCGAAGGATCTGCTCGTGGCTTTCATGAAAGTCGAGATGCACTTACACTGCATGAACCAGCAATGTCAATGAGCAGTAACCTGCTGTCCGTGTCGTAATCGTTGATAAGCGTGTGCGTGTCCTGAGTTTAGCAATGATTTATCTTCCTCTCCTGTTGTACCGTGAGAAGAAACACACTCGATTCGTGTCGATCGCAGTAACAAGACCACACACAGGCAGTCAATTCCGCTTGTGAGCGTGCACTTGATGTCATCGGATCTCGACTCTTGCAAGAAAATATGACAGACGGATGTTGTACCAATGCCGGGCTAGACAAAACCGTCAAGTCAAATAGTGCGCGAGAATCTCCACCAAAATTAACTGATTCCGCTATCGCGGAAGAGAGGCGGACATTCTTCTTGGAGGACGCTATTGTCGTAGATTTCCCCCACCCCGATAAACTAGAGACCCGAGTCCAGCACGGCGACACAATAGCCTGGTGTTTTCATGAAGGTGCCTGGGCAAATCTCCAGGCTATGCAGAGATGGCTGGAAGTCGCGGTGTACGATGCATACCCAAGTTGACGTTGTTGGCAGCTGAGAAGCCAAGTGCAAGGAGCACACACTGGCGTTTTCACCGTCAGGGTCCACTGTCTCGTCCAGATGAAGTGCACGCACCGAAAACGACCAGTGAGTGCAGCACAGTCCCCTGACTGCAAGCTTCGACGTCCCCTTCAACAGACGTTGAGCAACAACAGTCGCTTACGATCATAACAATAATGCGGGGAAACTTGTGGGCGAGGAGAACCATGCACCTGGTCCAGTCCCCTCTGCGGTGGCGACTGCCACGCCTTCATTGACCGCTGCCGTCTCAGTCCACCACAATCGCTATAGTTACTTCTTCTGGGTCATTATGCCGCGATCAACGAAGCGCAGAAGGAACCAGCTTCGAATGTGTCCACGAGAGGGGTCAAACAGAGGGTCGAGTAACATGTAAATCTGCCATCATTCTAGGTATTCTCCTCAACGAAGGCTGCGACACCTTGTTCGGCGCTTTTCGGGGAACAGTCTTCATCCGAAGGGTTCAGCCATTCGACAACGCTTCTGGATACCAGCAGTTGCTTACCGCTTCCTAGTTGCTCATCTCTTCTCCTCACTGTTTACAGTGTCTGGACCAACTCTTGGGGAACAAACCCATGCTGGCCACTGGAATCGGGACGCATCACCGAGTGTAGCCATGATGTCTCCGGACGAGGTTCCATGCGATAGCGAGCAACGTGCAGTGATTATTATTGAAATCTGCCTGCGTATTCATCCTACGCAAAGCTTAAACCCTAGCGCATCTAGTAAGTCCTCTAGTTCCTAACAGTTTTCGGTCGAGCTTCAGTGCACGGGTGACGATGACGTCGCAAAGCCACCACAACCAGCAGATCGTCGACCAGCGCTCCCTTGTACAGGCAAGCCGCGCAGCTCCGCCAACTGCTCTCGGGACAACCGCAAGTCGAGATTGTTCTCCCAGCCGCACATTTGCTCAAACGAGTCAAACGTGAGCTCCACCTGCTGCAGCACTTCCTCGGCGTTCGGGTGCTCGACAAACTTGAGCGTCTTGGCGAACGTGCGGCACACGCTCTCGACTGCAGCAAAGCACGCGTCTCGTTCCGCCATCGAGTCGCCCACCGAGAGGAAATTAAAGTAGCCATCTTGCAAACCAGGAGAAGCAGGCGTCGTCATTGTCGCAGCTTCTCTGTGCGTCCGGCCGCTTCCCTTCCCGCTCGTCTCCTGAGCAGCGGCAGCAGCAAAGCACTGGCGCGCAATGAGCTGCATGACCTCCTGTTTCCACGTCGCCGAGTCGCCCCCAGAGCCGAACGTCTGCTCGTACCAGCTCCGAGCCGAGACAATGTGCACGTCCGCTAGCGCGAGCACGCGCTGCACGTCCGGCAAATAGAGCGCCGCGGACATCTCGACCCAGCCGAACTCGGCGGCAGTCACGACGAACACGGGGCCGTAGGCCACCGCCTTCTGCAAGAGCCGTGCGACATGTGCACCAATGCGCCTCAGCACGTCCCGCTGGGCCGGCGTCACGGAGATCCGATGGCCGCGGTACTTGGGCAGCAAGTCCTGCGTGTGGAGCCACGAGCTGGGGCAGAGCGTGTCGTCCCAGTCAAAGACCACGACGGTGCGGTCGGTGACGCTGCTGCTGCTGCTGCTGCTGGGGGGACAAGCGACAGGGCGGCGCGTGGAGTGGGCGGTGGTCGTGGTGGTGGGTGCAAAAGGCGACACGGACGGCGGCAGAGGCCGCAGCGTCTCGACTGCGGAGTAGGAGGCGAACGCCATGTCAGACGTGAGTGGGCTCTGGCTCGGAAATTCGACTGTGAGTCAGAGCGCGGGCAGTCAGTCGGTCGCTCGTGGGCCGTGGGGAGAGGGGGCGACAGAGACGAGTCACGGACGCACAGAACCAGGCCTTACGACCATACACAGTGCGAGTAATCGAGCAAGAGAAAAGACCGGCCGACTGGAGTCTGGCAGTGGTCGACGACAGGAGCACGGACGGGTCCAATGTGGCACTTGGTCGTCTGTACTGACATCGTAGTGGCTCGTGTGTCTTGCTCGCTAAGCACTACGATACTTGCTAAGCACTGAATTGATATGGTAGGTTGACATGGACACAAGTCGCTCCTGTTTTGACTAAGGTCCATAGCGCGTGCAGCGTCAGTTATCAGCCCGTGTGTCTTCAACACCAAGTGTCCGCACAGGAACACAACTCCACTTCACACAGCAATCAAGAGCTTGATCTTCGACTTTTGTCTGAAGGGGCAGAACAAGAACCAGAGTCCGGAGCGAAACAGTAACGCGCCATTGACGCCGAAACGACTCGACGACTGACGTGCACCCAAATTTTTGCCGGCTGGGAGCACGCGCCGCTCTGGGAGAGGGTTCTTGTCGGTGATGCTTGCCGTCATCATCACCGTCACATCACAGGACCGAAACCCGAACCTCCCCGACACGATTGGGACGCGTGTGCCGCACAAGAGAGCGCTGACCCGAACAGATGGGACTAGGGTCCGTGTTCACCTGTCGGCAGAAACTTTGCTGCCATCTCAGTTGGACGCACCTGAGCGTGTAATGGATGTGCGCACAGTGCGTCGTCCTCCGGCAACTACAACCAGTCACGAAAAAACAGAGTTCTGCGAGCTGACGACGTCTCCTCGTGTGAAACAGCATACCCGCGCCTTGCGTCTGGCAGATGTCGCGCAGGATAGACGTGGCGGGTATTCAGTGTCTCTGCGACCCCGATCAGATCCTCGTTGCTCCCATTTTATCTCCGTGCGATGCGCTGCTGCTTCACAAGCACGCGATCGTGCGATCCTGCGGTAGTTGACGCGTCTGATGACGAACTAGTGTCCATATGCTCAGCCTCATGGTGCCATCAATCAATCAGGACCTCAGTCTGAGTTCATCGTGGTCCTGATTTGAGCTTCTGTGGTCCAATCCACAATTGGTCACCGATGATCTGCGTGTCAAACTTGTTCGGAATCCCCGGCAATCGTGAAAGTTGCGACTACGAGCAAGCTCGGATTGATTGGGAGACGATTTGGCTCGGATGATCTGACGAATGAGCGGCCATTGCAGGACTTAGCGGTAAGAGAGAAATGTCAGATGCGGGCAGAATAAAGACACTTGCTGAAGTAGTCGAAAAATTGCTCGTCCACTCGTTAGTCTTTTTCCAGTACCATCGAGCACTTGCGTGTGGAATACAACGAGCGCGCAAGAAGGGACTACTCTGCGACGTTCGTCATTCTTGGTCTTTTCCCACACCGCGACAATCGAGGGCAGGTCTAACCATCCTCCTTCGACAAGCTCCCCCTCCTCTTTTTAATCCTCCTGTACACAATTCTACATAAAAAGCGCTTTTGAGTTGTTCACTGAGATTACATAATCACACAGGCACCAACAAAAACATATTGTGGCTGCGTGAGAGTAATCGGCATGCGTCATGAAACACAATAAACGATAGAGTTTAGCGCTGCGTGGAAAGCATTTTGGCGGCGGGCGAAGCACTTGCGAGGTTAGGATGTGTTTTCGTAAGAGTGATTTTCGTTGCATTGAATACAAACGTATTGAACGCAAGTGGGTTATTGTTGCTTGTGGGACGTGAGTCGTGGTATGAAGCTGCGATCGTCACTGCTGTCGGATATGGCTTCAGTAGTGGATCAAATAGCTGTACTGTTGGCAGCTGACGTGCAGGTTCTTTTAAGATAGGTATATTTTTGTCGTTTTGGGCCATTGCACATCGGAGTACCAGGTACGGTGGTATGGCCGCGATGGGACATAAACTACTGCTGTGCTAAGAAATTACCGGTATAGACCAACAGTCCGAGCAAAGACCGAGGTGTAAACGTTTTAACGACGACGAGGATGGCATCCAAACTCGACGCGGTCTTCGACGGCCTGGCGGCTCGAGAGCAGTAAAGAAAGTGTATGCAAATTATTTGCCCTGATATAACATTTTCTTGATATAGCCAATGTTCTTCGTGCACCTCTGCTCATCACTTTAGTAGTATTTAATTGTTGACATTACATCTAACAGCTTAAGCGATAGGGTCCATGCCATCGTCGACAGGGCCTTTTCTCTTTCTCATAAAGAAGTAAAGCAGTCGCTCTCAGCACTTGCTTCCAGCATCTCGTGTTGGAAATGTAACGGGGTGAATCGTTGCATAACAATTTGTAAGAAATTGTTAATAGAATATAACTATAAGAGTTCTATTCTCAGAATATTGTCATAAGGACAAATATTCTGTAGCACTTACGAGTAGTTCCTAATTGGTTGATATAGGCCATTATATCAACCAGCGAAGACGCGCCACGACAGACGCACGCAATGAGTGGTGAGCAGATAACTGATTTACACATTTGTATTTAGACATAGTTAGATGAAGATAAATAGTGATTTATTGCAGACATTAACTATTATAAATACAGTTCTACTTTTTACTTTAACCAAGTACTCGCTTCTTCTTACCGTCTTCCTCTGCACGTACCAGTGTACGTGAAGTTACGAGGCACCGCCTTATTCTGTCATCAGAATAAGTAGCTTGTACTGTCACCAGTACAAGCTTCAGGGTGCCCCGTTACACTTGGTAGCACTTCGTAGTCCGTCCAAGGACCACGTTCACATCCGACATGAATATGTTGGATGGTGAAGATGACCAAAGCTTTCACGCTACGCGTGACGGCTACTCCCATTTTAACGATGTCGAATGGGATGCGGTTGAACGGATGGGTTCAACTATGGCATCCATGCTGTTAGCGTCAGGCTAGAGGCTCTCAATAGAGATGCACAACAGGCTACTATCGCCAAGTTCATCCAAAATGAACTTGATGCTGAACGCGAGAAAGTAGCCTTGCTTCACCAACAAGGTTCTCAACAAGCAGAGTTGTTGAGAGAACAGGGTGCTCAACAGTTTGAACTGTTGAGACAGCAGCAGGCTGCTGCTGGTGGGTCGATGCACTCGCGTCGACCCGAGACCTTGAAGATTGACATCTCCAAGTATAGGGGAGTCGAAGAGGACTCCCTCTTGAGATGGTTCGTCGAATTGGATGACGCCATAAGGGCGCGTCGCATCGACGATGGGGAAATGCAAGTTGCATTTGCCCAGTCAAATCTGGCAGGACGTGCCAAGACTTGGGCACTGGGGCTCAAGTTGCACGACCCATATGCGTTTGGGTCGTTAGAAGTCTTCAAGTCGCGGCTCAGACAAACGTTTGAACCGCCTAGAGCTGAGTTCAGAGCTCGAACCGAACTCTTGAAGCTCAAGCAGGGTAAGCGTGATGTGCACGCTTACGCTCAACATATACGACATCTTACGAGTTGTATAAGTTCCAATCCGGTGGATGAACACACGTTGGTTTCGGTGTTCATGCAGGGTCTTGCGGATGGTCCCGTCAAGACTCACCTGTTCCGGCTTGAACTAGATTCACTAGAACAAGCCATTTCAATTGCGGAGCAGGAAGACTTCAGTCTGAGACAGGCTCGCGCCAGCTCGACATCATATCGTCAACCGAGACGATATGACAACGGAGGTCCAGAGCCGATGGAACTCTGTTATGTAGAGAGCGAGAAGGCTCGCTCTACAGGCTACAAGAAGTTGCAGAGATGCAACAGATGTCAAAAGACAGGACACTACGCTTACGAGTGTAGTGCCCCTCGTCCAGTGTCTCGCGACACTGGGCGTAGTGACCGTCCACCCATGAGAAAGGGGCAGGGACGAGGGTCCGCAGTTGGTGCAAAAGACGCAACAACGGGATGGACCGTCAAAAAACGGACAGGATCAGTAGGTGCGGAGCACCCTACTGATCCAGCAACGTCAAGAGAATTTGTAGGCCTCTTGATGAAGGTTGCTCCCAACACACAAACGTTGTGCGTTGCTGCTCTAGGTAATGAGGTCTCACTCATTACCTTGAAACTCGAAGTGACGAATAAGTTGTCCCTTCGAGCTCTAGTCGATTGTGGGGCGTCCAACAATTTTGTGCGACGCCAATCGCTAGAAGATGGTCACTTTAAATTCAGTGAATGTGACACACCTCCTACGAGGATGACGGTACGTCTTGCGACAGGCGCATCCGTAACCGTCATGAAGCGTATAGTGAAGATTCACTATACGCTAGAAGATACCCAATACGACGATGACTTTATCGTATTGGATTTGGATGACAAATTTGATGTCATCCTTGGAATACCGTGGCTCAGAAGGTACGAACCACGGGTAAACTGGCAACATCGGACAGTAACGATGCCTGCCGCTTGTTCATCAGATGGCCATCTGATGAACGTTTTGGAGCGTCCACAAGCGTGTGGATGTACTACGAGTGAGTGCGATGGCCTCACTTGTGGTACGGTCGTTAGTACGACTGCACAAAAGCTTAGTGTACCAAACGGTTACACTTCGGAGCAAAGTTCCGGCGGCTGTGAGGGAAACACAGGCTGCGCCGAAGGTCCACCACTCGAATAAGTCGGGTGGACTGGGACAAAGATGTATCCCTAGAGGGGAACATCTAGAAGAGAAACAATCGATCGCTCAGGTTAAGCGAAACGATAATCCTAGATCGACTGGAGAGTCTTTCGTAGAGGATCTCGCTGTGGTTGCGCAACCCCAGCTAGAGGAAGTAAAGGGAATAAGTCCCAAGATTACAAATACGGCGGAAATAAGTTCCCCGAAACCCGCGGGAATAAGTCCCCGGGAAGACGAAGGAATAAGTCCTTCGAAGCCTGAGGGAATAAGTCCCCAGGAAATGACAGAGACATTGAATGTCATAGTCAATAACGGATCATGTGT